ACCAAGTATAAAAACCTAGAAAGAAACAAAGGAAAGCACCGAAAACTAATAAAACAAAGAAAACCGGAGATAATTAAAGAAAATAGGAAATAAAGAAAAAATGATCGAAACGGAAGAAAACCGAAAAACTGAAAGAAAACCAATAAAAAGTGAATAAAATGAAAAGACGGGTGAAAAAACAAAGGAAAAGCAAAAAAAACATCGAAACACGTGAAGAAATATAAAAACGGAAGAAAAAATGTAAATAAAGAACAGATAAAAACGCAGCGAACACAACTGCAGCAAGCGAAAATGTCCATATGAGAGACCTCGCGCCTGGGGACGAGGAGTTCCTATATGACGCGTTCTGCGTCAGAATGCGGAAAGGTATTTCCTATTTGGCGCCACAGGCGCAAGTTAACGTGCATTTTGTTAACTGGCGCCTGTGACGTCCTTAATGGGCCGGCCCATCTAGGCGCTGGTTAACCATTTTATGGAAAAATATTATATGAACTTTATTTAGATTGATGAAAATTTTTGAATATTAATGAACTTTTTCTAAATTTAATGCACATTTTGTCTTGAAAATGGATGAACTTTTTTATATTTATGAACAAATTTTTCAGTTCCATGAACTTTTTCTAGAAATACATGAACTCTTTTTCAATTTCTATGAACTTTTGCGAAATTGGATGAACTTTTTTTTCATTTTGAATGAACCTTTTTTCAAATTGATAAAAAATTCAAAATTTATGATTTTTTTGAAGATATGAACATATTTTTTCGAATGGATGAACTTTTTTTTTTAAATCTGAAAACCTTTCTTCATTTGTTATTTTTATTTTTCACAAAAAAAACTAAAAAAAACATTTAGGGCAGCACGCTAGTGGGCCGGCCCATGCTACCAGCGCTGCAAACGCCGGATCATTAACGGGCACTCAACTAAGCCCTCTCGAGGGCTTGCTTAAGAATAAGAAAGAAGAATCTTATGGAAATAGCATGGAATAAGGTTTGATCCTATTCATGGGGATTCCGTAAATATCCCATTCATAAATCGAAACAATCGGGACTTTTCGGAGATCGGATGCAGTTACTAATTCATGATCTGGCATGTACAGAATGAAAACTTCATTCTCGATTCTACGAGAATTTTTATGAAAGTGTTTCATTTGCTTCTCTTCAATGGAAGTTTCATTTTCACAGAATGTATCCTAATTTTTGGCCTAATTCTGGATCGTTAACGGGCGCCTGCAACGCTGTATAGGAGCTCCCCATTCTGAGAGACCTCCTATGTGCCGCATTTTGCGGCCAATAGGTCGCGCGACGCACAGGGGTTGTGCAAACTGGGCCGGCCCATTCGCTGTCTCCGTCAAAGAATGAAAAATTCGACCAAAAAAAAACAGCACGCTGTAGCGTGGATTCGAACCCACCACCTTCAATAGTAGCAGGTGATGCTCTAGCCACTGCGCCAGCAAAGCTGCCGTGATAGAATAGCAGCGGGAACTTAAATATACTGTTACCGCGGCGAAAAATAAAAACAATTCAGCCAATTCCATAGTTTAAAACCAATTCAGCCGATTACAAATTTTCCAAACTGCAGTATTTTTTGGAATATGTGAAACATTTTCGGAAACAGGAACATCTTTTTGAATTAGTGACAAAAATTAAACATGCAGACAATTTTTTGAATGTGTGAACAAATATTGAAACATGAACACTTTTTGAATATGTGAACAAATTTTATGAAAACGAACAAATTTTGAATTTCCCACAGATTTTTCGAAAACATGAACATTTTTGGAATTTGTGAACAGTTTTTAAAGCACGAACAAATTTTAAATCTTGAGAACAAATTTGGAAGCGCGGGCAATTTTTTTAAAGCATGAACATTTATTGAAAATCTCGATAACAAATTTTAAAATGGAGAACAATTTTGAAAAATCCCAAACAAATTTGGAAGCGCGAACAATTTTTTAAATGACAAATGTTTTTTGAATCTTGAGAACAAAATTTTACAAATTCCGAACAAATTTGGAAGCGCGAACATTTTTTGAATATGTGAACAAAAAATTGAAATCCGTTACATTTTCTGAATTTGAAAGTTTTGAACCTTTTTGTGTAACAATAAGTTTTTTTGAATTTTGAGAACATTTTTTCAAAAACTGAACTTTTTTTGGAAACATGAATTTTTATAAAAAAAATGATTTAAAAACACGAACACTTTTTGAATTTGCAAGCAATATTTGAAACATGAAATATGTTTTGAACAAGTTTTGAAAACGGGAACATATTTCTTAAAACCGAACATATTTTAGTTTGTGAACAAAATTTAAAAAGACGAACAATTTTTCAAAATAAGCGAACAATTTTCGAAATTCTAAACTTTTACGAAATTTCGGAACAAAAAATTGGAAACGGGGACAGTTTCTAAAAGAATTAACATAATCTCAAATTTTCACTTTTTAAAGAAGTTCTGAAACATTTGTTGAAAATTGAAAAAAAATCAACAACAAAATAGCAAGAAGAAAGGAAAAAGAAGAAAAATGAAAGAGAAAAAAATGGAAAATAAAAGAAAAAAATGAAAACGAAAAAGAAAACTGGTTCCGGAACCTTCTAGAAGGTTCCCAAAACCGGAAAAAACCGGCTAGGAACAATCATAGAAGGTTCCCAAAACCGATACAAGGGAACGCTTAAAACAGGCCGGCCCACCCACCTCCTCGCTCGATACCCTGTGCGGAACCCCGACATTTTGCCGCAAAGAGCGGCAAATAGGGGAGCTCGTATACAGCGCTGCAGGCGCCCGTTAACGATCCGGCGCCTGCAGCGCTAGTAGCATGGGCCGGCCCACTAGCGTGCTGCCCTAAATGTTTTTTAGTTTTTTTTTGCAAAAATAAAAATAAGAAATGAAGAAAGGTTTTCAGATCTAAAGAAAAAAAGTTCATCCATTCGAAAATATATGTTTATATCTTAAAAAAAATCATAAATTTTGAAAAAGTTCATCAATTTGAAAAAAGGTTCATTCAAAATGAAAAAAAAGTTCATCCAATTTCGCAAAAGTTCATAGAAATTGAAAAAAAGTTCATGTATTTCTAGAAAAAGTTCATGGAACTGGAAAATTTATTCATAAATAAAAAAAATTCATCCATTTTCAAGACAAAATGTTCATTAAATTTAGAAAAAGTTCATTAATATTCAAAAAATTTCATCAATCTAAAAAAAGTTCACATAATCTTTTTCTAAAAAAATGGTCAACCGGCACCTAGATGGGCCGGCCCATTACGGGCGCTACAGGCGCCAGTTAACAAAATGCACGTTAACTGGCGCCTGTGGCGCCAAATAGGAAATACCCTCAGAATGCTGCCGTTTCGCACAGACACATCGTCGCGCTGCGCCAATTGGGCCAGCCAATTGCAGTGCACAGTTCCTATATGACGCGTTCTGCGTCAAAATGCTGCCCTTTCGCACACACACATGGGCCGGCCCATTGCAGTGCACCGAAAATAGCAGGTGAAAAATTGCAAAAATCTAGAAGACGCGATGGATGGGAATTGAAGACAGGACTTACGACTTGCGCACACTACTAGCCACTACGGCAGAAGAGCTTGCTTGACCAACATACAACGGAAAGCTATAAGAACTAAAGAAAGTATAAGACTTAACACTGTTTGAAAACAATCCTTTACGATTTCCCAAATTTTAATTAAATTTTGAACGTACGATTTCATTTTGACAAGAGCAAATTTTTTTGTGATATCACGAACAAATTTTGAATTTCTGAAATGTTTTACAAAAACATGAACATTTTCAGAATTTGTGAACAATTTTCAAAAGCAAGAACATTTTTTAAAGTTTGAGAAACAAAATTTTGAAATGGAGAACAATTTATAAAATCCTGAAAAAATATGGAAGCACAATTTTTTTTTTGAAAAATGAACATTTTCAGAATTTGTGAACAATTTTCTAAGGCAAGATTTTTTTTAAAAATTTGAGATGGAGAAAAATTTCAAAAATACTGAACAAATATGGAAACACAAACTTTTTTTGAAAACATGAACATTTTCAGAATTTTTGAACAATTTTCTAAAGCAGGAACATTTTTTAAAATTTGAGAACAAATTTTGAAATGGAGAAAAAAATTAGAAAATACTGAACAAATATGGAAGCACAAACATTTCTTGAAAGCATGAACATTTTCAGAATTTGTGAACAATTTTCTAAATCAAGAACATTTTTTAAAATTCGAGAACACATTTTGAAAGGGAGAACAATTTCGAAAACCTTGAACAAATATGGAAGCACAAGTGTTGTTTGAAAACATGAGCATTTTCAGAATTTGTGAACAATTTTCTAACGCAAGAACATTTTTCTAAAATTTGAGAACAATTTTGAAACGGAGAACAATTTCGAAAATTCTGAACAAATATGGAAGCACAAACATTTTTGAATACGTGAACAAAAATTTGAAAACTAGAATTTTTTTTGAAATCTTTGAAAAAAATTTGTAAAACACGAACATTTTTTTACAAGACAATGCAGTCTTTTATTTGCTAACATTTGTTGGAAAGGCAAACAAATTTCAAAAAAAATTGAACATTTTATATTTTTGACTTTTTAAAATATGCGGACATTTTTAAACTTTTGGGAATAATTAAACTTTCGAATAATTATCGGAAATGTGAACAAATTTTAAACATTTTTATGAAAAGTGCAGGATAAAAAAAACAAATGGAGAAACAAAAAAGAAATAACAAAGAAAAGGAAACAGAAGGATAGCGTTCAATAGGTCAAGTCGAAACATCGACAGTACGTGCGTCCAATAGGAAATTCCGTGGGAACGTGCCTGTGCTAGCGTTCTAACGGGCCAGCCCAGATGGATAGCTTCTCCAACCCAAGTTAAAACCGGAGGTCACCCCGTGGAGAGGCAAATCTAGATCCCCAAATTCGCGCTGCATCCACGCCTTGCGCCGCAACAAACCCTAGGCCCCAAATCCGATCCGCGCCCACCTCTTGCGCTGCCTGCCATGGCCACCTCTGCCGCCGATGCCGCCGCCACCGTTCCCCCGTATCCTGGTTGGGTTCTCCTCGAAAAGGAGGGCTACGACGACGACGACCTCGACCTCGACGGCGCCACCAGCGCTACGGGCAAGACAATCGGCGGTCGCGACGTCACGGTGGCCTTCGTCCTTGTGCCTCCGCCGGAAGTCTCCTACTTCTGCGTCCACCTCTCCAAGCTCGAGGGCGAGGACGATCTCGACCTCGACTTGCAGCCCTCGTTTGTCTTCTCAGCTAAGGGTTTCGTCCTCTTCCGTTTCTCCTTCGCCAGTCGGACCGATGACAGCTCCAATCTCGTCCAGTACTTCGTGTACAAGGCAGGGGGCGGCAAACCGTCGCTCGAGCCTATCCCGTCAACTCCCCTATGTTGCATCAGGGATTCTACAGGCTTGAGCGTCGTTCCCTGCCCCGACGACGAGGACACCTATGTCCTCGCCGATCTCTCTGTGGGTAGTGACCTTGGGCACTACGACCTCCACGTTTACTCGTCCAAGACGCGCCAGTGGAGCACCACGCCGTTGCAGCTACCGGAATCTCCTGCCGTCAGGTCAAATGACGACCTGCCTTGTCAATTCCACAAGGCTATCGGGCTTGCAGCACATGAGGTAGGCTGGGTAGACCTCTGGCGTGGCATTGTCACCTGCAAGGTGCTTGATAAAGACCCACTTCTCCGACTCATCCCTCTTCCCAAACCGCACGTGGACATCCTGCAAGGCGAACCGGGGTTGATCCGGGATGTCACCTACTGTAATGGGCTCTTCGAGTTCATTGAGATGCAACATTTTTTCAGACCAGTTAAAGTTGTTAGTAGTATCATCCATGATTCCAGGCCCCTCCTTGGACTTGTAGTGGATGAAGGTATTACGGTCCCTGATGGTTGGGTCATCCGGACATGCTGTAGGGTTGATCCATCGGACTTTTGGTTCAGGGCATACACTGTTCATGTTGATGACTTCGCAGTGGATTCTACTATATCGTTCCCTCGGATGTGGGATGCTTGTGCTCACGACAAGGAATCGACATTTAGGAACCTGACAACACATTGGCCGACCTTTGGCGTTCCTGGTGACAGACTTGTCTACCTGCTATCCAAGGTGAAAATGGATGATGACAACACATGGATTGTTGGTGTTGACCTTGCCAAGAAGATGGTGAAACTAATTCAACCCTGTGATGACTTGGGATATGCCTGTATCCAACCAGCCTTTGTTCCCTCTACATTCTCCTATTATCTGAATACAACTCCAGGTATTTATATTTATTGAGCAGCTGGCATTAATTAGTATGTGCTTTTCTGCATCTCACATATGAATGATGGTTCTTGCCACTAAATAGGTTTGCTTATCTATTTGGTTCTGTGTCCAATTGTGTTTATGCTGTTTCTACCTATTTGATCTTTGTACTGTAGTTTTCTTAATTATACTTTTAGGACTCAGGATTCATGATCTGCCATGGAAAATCTAATCAACCTTGTAAATTGAAGTAGTAGCCAACAAGGGTAAAAGGTCTAGGTTTTTTCCCCCTAAAAAATAGCCCAGATTTAGGGGAATAGCACACTATCTGACTGCATTAATTTTTGTATCCGAAGTTCCGAACTCGTCAAAGTATTTCAAACTGCCTCTATTTTTCTTAAACCTTGGTTCTCCAAGAGAACTCCAAATATGCTGGGCATCCGAACAGGGCCTGGACTACACATTTGAAATAATTTGCTGCTAAAATCCTTGATGACAACTGTATTGGCCTCTTGCATTTTGTTAATGTTTTTAATCATGTTGCAGGTGATTTTTCACCCACATTGATAAACCACTCAGAGAAGACTGCCAACAATGCAAAAGTAAGTGACCTGCTTTCTTCGTCGTTTTGAAGAATTTGTACCACCTAACTTTTTTATTTTCATTTTTGTATAGGTCGATGGCGATGGCGATTCCTGTGTACGTGAAATAAATATACATCACGACCAAAGGTAAGTTCTACTGTGTTTGTACAACTCGTAGAAACAATGATAACGATTTGTCAATTTATCTGCCTATTTTCCTGGTTTTCCACTACTTATTATGCCAGATAACATTTCGTATCTTGCTTTTTCTTGCCATTTGCTTAAGGTCATGGGTTGGGGACAACACATCTGCACCAAGCGGAGCTTGGAATTCTGGGGAGAACAATCTGGTATGCTATATTGATCGATTGTTGTAGATGTGTCCATCTTGCCATCTCCATTCACTAATATCTAACTATTCTTGTACAGACACTGAATCATGAATCTGCTGATGTACAACGGACAAGGTTACTACAGGACTTGGATTCCATTTTGTTTGCATCAGGATCAGGTAAACATTGGACAATGTTTGTGCTATGGTGCTCTTTTTTACTGGTCGTTGAGTGGTTAAGCTCCTTGTTGCAAGGCTGAAAATTTGGTAGAATTTTATCCGCAGATGTTATGTGTAATGTAAAGGAATCATTTTTCAAGTTGTGAGTTGTGACTTAGGTAGCTCCCTTTACCAGCCAGAGGGAGTACTGAATCTTCTTTTTAGCATCCTGTAGTTGGTCCTGTAAATAAATTTTAGCATCCTGTAGTTGGTCCTGTAAATAAATAAGAGGAGAAGGTTGTATGAACAAAGAATTCTTTAGGAATGGCAAAAATCATTTAACTTTATATAAAAACTGAGCTACGGTTCAGTGCGGCGTGTCAGAAAATACGAAAACGTAAATCTAAGGAGACGTGCAAACTTGCTAGGGCAATAAAGTCAATTGTAACAAGGTGGTGCTTTAACAGTTTCCATCAGCTGGCGGTTTAAAGAATTGAGTTTCCATAGCATCACTAACCATCCTTAATGCTTTTGCTGAAGGGTATATTCCGATGAAACAAGAACTGGAAACTGATGCTGATGGCAATTTATGGCTCTCTTTGCCACTGGAAGACCTCTTGTCACTGCTTCCACGACTAGGACCTGATACTGCATCCTTGACAAGAATGCTGTCTTGGCATGATGATTGCGGCTGCTGGTAACTGTTTTCAAATCCAAATCAGGCCGACATGTACATGGTAAACGACAGTCCTGCCAATGGTTTACCAGACGATGACAATTCAGATGACATAAAATCTAGTTTTTTCTTGTAGAATCGTCCAAGAGTAACTAAACAAGTATCAATGTATTATAATCTGTACTAAATTATCATGACCCTTGCTTTCATGAAAACTAGTGCCTAATGGTGTATCTGCAGTGGGTTTATTTCTCAGTGACCTACTACAGCGGCATGTGAAGTAAGCATGAAGGCGTACATAATTAAGCATTCCCTCTGTCCATTAATGTAAGACGTTTTTTTAGCACTAGTGTAGTGTCAAAAAGTGTTTTACATTATGGGACGGAGGATGTAAGACGTTTTTTTAGCTCTAGTGCATTGTCAAAAAACGTCTTACATTATGGGACGGAGGGAGTATTTCACAATGAATGGCACAATAAAAGAAAGGCCTTTTATTCCAACGGAAATGACATCCTCTTCACACTACAGTAGATAGGATCACCTGCGAGGTACCAGACTTGCCTCTCAATATTCTGAGCTCTAGTAATAGAAAATTGAATCAATCCTCGGAATGTCTCCACTGCGAAGCTCTAGTAAATGAAAACCGAATCATCAACTATCTAATCAATCTTCGGAATTTTCTTCTCACGTAGAGAGATCAGAAAGCTTGCACCGGATTACCAAGTGCAAGAAAAAAAATATGAAGAAAGCGCTCTAGTAAAGGGAATTTTCCTAGATACTCAGTGGCCTGAAAAACGCACCCATTTGCTCGATTTCACACAAGTCATGCTTGCGCCAATTTCACACAAGTCACTCTCACATATCATTGTCACGAGATTCCAAAGTAACTTAAAGAGTTAAAACTCCAGTCCTGGGAAATGTCACGATCTCCTTCAAACTCATCACAACCATACCAGAAATAACCTAACAAAAACATCAAGCTATTAGTAATAGAACAAAATTTTAAAACTACAAATAGAAGAAATAATAATAATAAATAAACATAAACTAAGAAAAACAGTGGAAAATAAATCTGACCATTTTATGAGCATTAACATTCATGGAATTAATCATGTGAACAATAGGACAATAGAGTATGTACTCGTCATTAAAGAGTTGATGCGTCATGAAATACATCTGCTGATAATTGAGATAAACACCACGAGTGTAAAAACAACTCCCAACTAGTTCCTTCTCGGAGTCGATCAATCCATCAAGAGCTACAAAATAAAATTACACGGGTTTAAGGGAACAGAAAAATCATATGAAATGAAACAAGCTAAATACTTCCTTAAAAATAAACCTTACCAACAGAAGGTAAAGGAGACTAACATATCTCCACCCCAATAAAAGTCAACACCAATCAACGTTCCATAGCGCTCAAGCTTAACTGTCATTCTATCACGATGACGAAGACCATAATCAATGACCAAATCTTCCCAGAAAGAACCATGGAATTTGCTCCTCACCCAATCATGACTAAACAGAACACCATACAAATAACCCTCACTAGAGTGAAGAGCAAGATCACTATCTTTGTCACCCCTCCTTATGGCCAAAGCCTTACACTCAACACCAATCAACGTTCCATAGCGCTCAAGCTTAACTGTCATTCTATCATGATGACGAAGACCATAATCAATGACCAAATCTTCCCAGAAAGAACCATGGAATTTGCTCCTCACCTGATCATGACTAAACAGAACACCATACAAATAACCCTCACTATATAGTGAAGATCAAGATCACTATCTTTGTCACCCCTCCTTATGGCTAAAGCCTTACACTCCTCGATGTAACGAGCAAGATGAGCTCTAACACTGCATGGTATATACTGCAAAACGAATGATCATAATCAAAGAAAGAAGACCTAGAATAACTTCCATTCAACAACACCAAAAGAATTAAGTATGTGTGCCAAAAATTGATCAAATATAAAATATTATTCTTACAACACGAGTCGAACAACGCCGATCCAGAACCACAATGAACACATCTACAGAAGAATCAACAGAAGTACACGGGCCACCCGGCATACGGCAAAAAGGACAAGCTCGAGGAAGACGACGACGACTTCCAGCCCTCGTTTCTCTTCTCTGCTAAGGGTTTCATCCTCTTCCGTTTCTCCTTGGCCAGTCAAACTGATGACAACTCCAATCTCTTCAGTACTTGATCTACAAGGCAGGAGGCGGCAGCCCGTCGCTCGAACCCATATCGCCAACTCCTCTAAGCAGCAGCAGCGCAGTAGCAAGGATTCGACATGCGTGAGCGTCGTTCCCTGCGACGACAACGACGACGAGGACAACTATGTCCTCGCCGATCTCTCTGTGCGTAGTGACCTTGGGCACTACGACCTGAAGGAAATATGCCCTAGAGGCAATAATAAAGTTGTTATTTTATATTTCCTTATATCATGATAAATGTTTAATTCATGCTAGAATTGTATTAACCGAAAACTTGATACATGTGTGGATACATAGACAAAACACTGTGTCCCTAGTAAGCATGTACTATACTAGCTCGTTAATCAAAGATGGTTAAGTTTCCTAACCATAGACATGTGTTGTCATTTGATGAATGGGATCACATCATTAGGAGAATGATGTGATGGACAAGACCCATCCGTTAGCTTAGCATATTGATCTTTTAGTTTTATTGCTATTGCTTTCTTCCTGTCAAATACATATTCCTTCGACTATGAGATTATGCAACTCCCAGATACCGGAGGAATACTTTGTGTGCTATCAAACGTCACAACGTAACTGGGTGATTATAAAGATGCTCTACAGGTATCTCCGAAGGTGTTTGTTGGGTTAGTATAGATCGAGATTAGGATTTGTCACTCCGAGTATCGGAGAGGTATCTCTAGACCCTCTCGGTAATACACATCATAAGAAGCCTTGCAAGTAAAGTGGCTAATGAGTTAGTTGCGGGATTATGTATTACGGAACGAGTAAAGAGACTTGCCGGTAACGAGATTGAACTAGGTATGAAGACACCGACGATCGAATCTCGGGCAAATAACATACCGATGACAATGGGAATAACATATGTTGTCATAACGGTTCAGCCGATAAAGATCTTCGTAGAATATGTAGGAGCCAATATGAGCATCCAGGTTCCGCTATTGGTTATTGACCGGAGAGGTGTCTCGGTCATGTCTACATAGTTCTTGAACCCGTAGGGTCCGCACGCTTAACGTTAGATGACGATTTAGTATTATATGAGTTATGTGATTTGGTGACCGAATGTTGTTCGGAGTCCCGGATGAGATCACGGACATGACGAGGAGTCTCGAAATGGTCGAGAGGTAAAGATTTATATATTAGATGATGGTATTCGGACATCGAAAGTGTTCCGGATAGTATAGTGTATTTATC